TGAGAATTCCCTTCGCTCCCCATCCTCTGTTAGAAGAACGCTGCGTGCTATTAAACTGTTTTTATTCCTCCCTAGAGGAAAGCACGGGTGGAGCCATCTTCGAATTCTGAAAACCCATCAAGGACCTTTTGGCAGATGGACTTGCTTGGGAAACAGCACCATTAGAACTTCACGAAGGAAGGCGGATCTACGTGTCTCCGGATAATATCTAAAACGTTTAAATCATGGCAACTGGACCAAAGCTGATTAAAAATGAGACGTTTTGCTACTCCTCCAAGTGATGGAGACCTAGAACCTCTGAAGATAAGCTGTTCCACTGGTTAATTGTTCTCACCGATAGGAAATTTCTCTCTCTTTTTTTTTTCTGAGCTGCATTCATGGCACCCAAGAGGTGGAGAGCTGTCCAAGGTCCTGAAAGCATCTCACTCCATCCTCAAATCTTCGGAGAATTCCCTCTTATGGAACAAGGTCAAGTTGGACATGCCTTTAGACTTCATGCTGGCATCCTCTGGATGCTATACTGCTTGTCGTTACTTGAAAGTGAAAGCTGGGCCTCTTTGATAGAAGCCCTACATGGGGCGATCCTTGAAGAGCATTTGGAGGCAAGAGTTGCCCTCAAACGCAGTGACAGGGACCGTTTTAGAGACCTCTAGTTACACAACACCACAGTTACGCAAGCTGCACTGGCTGCTGATCTACTTCCAGGTCCAATTCAAGGTATTGGTCATTAGAGGTAATCCTCGAGTTATGGCCACAATCGAGCCCAAAATGTCTGTTGCTAAGTGAGACACTTGTTAAGAGAGTTTGGCCCCATTGGACGACCTCTCTTGCCACAGTCTTTTGCAGTTGTTAAGTTAGCAACAACTGGCTTCCCCTGTTGACTTTGCTTGTCAAGAAGGTCACAAAAGGGGATTGCATGGCTCACCTTGGGCACTGCCACCGTCGTAAATATGAAGCAACTGAATTTTGATCACCTGACCGTGGGGAAGCTGCAACAGTCGTAAGTGTGAAAAAAATGGTGCTAAGTCCCTTTTTTCACCGCCGTTGTAACTTTAAGCCAAAGACCATCGGTAATGGAGACCTTTTTTGGGGAGGATAAATACATAAATTCCCCTTTTTCCAAATCAGCATTCTGGCCAACCGCATCGCAAGCCTGCCTTGTACGCCGAGGCCTGTGTGAGTTTTTTGCACAGAGAATGCACCGCATCTTAATTTACAGTTATAAATGGCAGGTTCCAAAAGGATGGCACCTTCCCTGCCTTTTCCCTCCTTATAATTTTTTTTTTTTTTTTTGCACATGCAATACGGTTCCATTTGTATGGAGCTGTCATTTTCCCCCGATCACCCTATATTTCACGAGAGATAAATTCATTTTTATGGCTGACCCATAAATCTTGCGAGCGGCTGTCGGAGGGGGAGAGGGCAGGGGAAGGGCATGCCGCCATTTGTCACTTTTAACAAAGGGCAAACGAATGCAAAATTGGGGTGCGGCACCCCACGGAGTGGCAAAGGGGAGGGGGGAGGGGCTGGAACCCCTTGCAAGGAATCTCCAAACCTGCCCTAAACCTGTCAAGAAAGGATAAATTAGCAGTCTGGAAACCTGGGGTGTTTAATGAAATTTCAGATAAGTTAGTCGAGGATTTATTTTATTTTTTTTTTAGAACTGGCTTTTGCAGAAACTGAGGATTCCATTGGTCCCAATTGAATAACAGAATGACAGAGTTGGAAGGGACTTTGGAGGTCTTCTAGTCCAGCCCCCCTGCTCAAGCAGGACCCTAGGCCTAGCCCTAGACCATTCTAGGCAAAAGGTTGTCCAGTCTTTTCTTAAAAGTCTTCGGTGGTGGGCCCATAAGAGGAAGGTATAGAAAATGAAGCAACTAAATTGAGTTTATGGGACTTTAGAGTTCAAACAGACAGGCGAGAGCCACATAACACCCCGGACTTAACCATTGTTGATAAGAAAGACAAAAAGTCTGGATAGCGGATGGGGCAATACCTGGAGGCAGCGGAACAGAAGAGAAAGAACTGGAGAAGATCACAAAATACAAAGGCCTGCAAATGGAAAATAGAACAACCGTGTCAAAAGAAAGCAACAGGGTTCAAGTTCTCGTTTTCCATCTTCTGCAACTTTTACCCACTGCTTTCTCATTCAGCCAGGGGAAGAAGACAAATAGTGGTCTGTTTGGTGAGCCACACCCTCCCTTTTCCATCTCAGTAGCAAAAGCTGCGGAACAAAAATGCCATAGATCAAAGGAGCTGCGCTTGCCAAGAAGCAGCATGGGACCAGCTATGCATAAAAATGTCCTTCTTCCCGATCTTTCTTACAACACAACGGGCTTGGAGAGGTCAAAGAAGGCCAAGTGATTTTTGTTCCCCTCCCAAAGTCTCTAGATTTGTTTTCGTTGCTGACCACGGAGCACAGAATATAGAATAACAGAGTTGGAGGGGTCTTGGAGGTCATCTAGTCCAACCCCCCTCCTTGAGCAGGAGAGCCTGCTTTATCTTACTGATGTTTTAACTGATTTCTGTCAGTTATCTGTCTGGTTGTGAGGCGTCCAAAATAACTTGGATGGCACAATCATCCATCCGTCAATCAGTCAATCAATCCTGGTGATTGGCCCAAAGTCTCCCAGCTGGCTTTCGTGCCTATGGTAGGACTAGAACTCACGGTCTGCTGCTTTCTAGCCTTAACCACTAGACCAAACTGGCTCTCCACCCACCCACCCCTAGCTTGAAAAATATGGCTTGAAGCTGGAGAGTGGAACAGCCCAAGATATTTTGCTTAAAACGAAAGCCTGGAGGACATCTTCTCCACATTCCATTTATTAAATGAATTTTTCAGTTAAATTTCACTTCGACAACGATTCGATACGTCCCTGCCTCCGAAAACAGCAGTCCAGCTTAGCAAGTGCAGATAAAGCTACTCTGAGCATGGGGTGGGGCACTCTAAAACCTCCCTTGCAGCACCCTTCACCCTTGGTAGTGGCTGCTAAGGTTTTACTTAATGGTAGAGCCGGCCCTGATCCCTGGGACCACGCAGCTGGTTCAGGCAGTAGCCAAGGGGGATAAGAGCAAGACTATTAAATAAAATGCATTTCCACCCCGGGGAAATAATTAAAGGAAAAGAAAGCCGCTGGGAGAATTAAAGGAGGTTTTTGCATTACTGCCAGGGGAAGGAACAGCTAAGAGAAATAGGGAGCTCATTAATAAGCAAGGCAAGGAAGATTAAACGAATGATAACTCCAAAATGCCCTTGCAATAGAAAGGAAACCTTATGGAGAACTAGGATGCATTTAAAAAGGGGAAACATAGGGTAAGGGGGAGGAAGCAAATATGCCTAAATATGTATTCATAAAACCTGGGAGGGTTTGAAGTCCTGTGGGGGTCTGGAGATAGAAAATTAAATGGTTTTGCCAGAAAAGACAATTTAATTTTTTTTTTAAAAAAAGAAGAATTAAAGCTAAAGAACACAGGAAAAAGTGGCCCGCCGACAGAACCGGGAGGGACTAAAAGATACAGCAGAGTCATTTAAAAGCTATCCAGGTCTTTGGTTTTATGATAAATCTAATTAAGAAATCTATTAAGATAATGGAACAGAATATCAAAATAGGATGGTCTACAAAGGAGTTAGGCACTTTGCATGATTAGAGGCCTCCGGCTTTGTGAATAACGGAATTTGTCTTTTCTGCCCCAAACTGGATTCTGGAAAAGGAAAAATGTCCAGGGGCATTTTAAAACTCTGCTCTTAAATTCTTTGTTGAGCTTGGAATTTGCAGGAACTTCAAATAGTTTGGAGAGGGAAGCTTTTTTTTCCCCACTATCAGAAGCGCAGCAAATGAACAGGATGGGAAAGACCAGAAGGGTTTTTTAATAGTCTTTGAAGGAAAGCTAATGAGGTGGGGAACTTCCTTTCTTTCTTCCTTTATTTTATACAAAATGCTGACCAGCTTCTGTGGATGATCTAGTCATCACCTTTGTCCAAGATGCTAAGCTTGGTTAATGCCAGCCCTTCGTAAATTAGCCACCTCTAATTGAGAGAGCAGCATATGGTTCCATGTCAAATCCCAGCCCAGGAAATGGGTTAATCCAGTAACCAGGTTAAATGTACTCTGTGAATATAACAAATTAAACTGTCAAGATCACATCCTATGACCCATCTAGGTAACATCGTCAGTATTAGAAGCAACCCCACTCCCTTCTAGCCCTGATGATGTTACCTAGTTGGGTGATGAAATGTCTGCAAGAAAACCACCAAGTTCAGAGAGCCTCAGGGACCCCACAGTTGTTGTTGTTGTTGTTGTTGTTGTTGTTGTTGTTGTTGTTGTTGTTCTTCTTCTTCTTCTTCTTCTTCTTCTTCTTCTTCTTCTTCTTCTTCTTCTTCTTCTTCTTCTTCTTCTTCTTCTTCTCCTCCTCCTCCTCCTCCTCCTCCTCCTCCTCCTCCTCCTCCTCCTCCCTGCAAACCCCATTCCCTTCTAGCATTGATGATGTTACCTAGTTGTGTTATGAAATGTCTGCAAGAAAACCATCAAGTTCAGAGAGGATCAAGAACCCCACAGTTCTCCTCCTCCTCCTCCTCCCTCCACAATTCCCACTCCTTTCTAGCACTGATGATGTTACCCAGTCAGGTCCTGAAACATCTACAAGAAAACCACCCAACTCAGAGAGCAGCAGGGACCCCACAGTTCATCCCTGCACTGACAAATATTCTTTCCTATCTGTAATTTTCATATTCCCTCCCAGAGGCCGAGATCTGTCAAATCCTCTTTAAACCCTGATCAGGATGGGGTGGCGGTTACTTAAACGTTTCCATAATTCATCCGGTGTTTGCAACTTTCCCACACAAAGTTGGCCACATGAATATTTAACATCCTTCTCCCTTGGGGAGATCAGAAGAGTGATATTAGTCAGCTGCGGACTGGGAGAGACACGGATGGGGAGGCAGGAGAATTACAAAGAGGGAGAACGTCACTGGGCAGGGCACCTACCCAATTAGGAATAACTGGTGCTTGTTGGCGACTGGTAAATAGAGCCTCCACAGGCAGGAGTACTCTACCTCTGTAGTGCCCAGAACTACACTTAGGCAAAAATGACAGAAGACTCTCTGTCCTGTGCTAGGATACTGTCTGTGTCATGATATTGATTGTTCTTTCCTAGCTGTAAAATCGTTTCAAGCCGCGGCCTCTTAAAACAATTACAGCCCTGAATGCAAAGAGGATTTATTTATTAACAGCAGCTGCTGCTGTTTTAAGGCTGAATAGCTTATTGTCTCTGAAGATATAAATTTCAGCATCTTAGAGGAGAGAAAAGAGTAAGTAATAATTCCTAAGCGTTACCTTATTAATGTGCTATTCACACTTAACATTTAATGACCAAATTGGGAGAAACTTCAGCAATAAGAATTGCAGTGTTTGATTGATGGATTGATTGGTTGATTGATTGATGATCGGCCGAATCCCAGAGGAATTCAGCTGGCTTTTAAAAACCCTCAGGAAGAATTCAACATCTTCTAAAAGACATGAAACCCTCTAAGGTAACTCTTACTGACAAAATCCTTTCCTTGCAAACGTACGATAACTTATTAAGGGTATCTGTTCAGGCTAACTGGGTTAGAACAGCGAAATCTTCAAATATTGTTGAACTTCCAATCTAATTCTCACTTAGATCACTCGATATACTGCACTGGAAAGACCACACTTGGAATACCGCATCCAGTTCTGATCGCCACGATACGAAAAAGAGGTTGAGACCTTAGAAAGAGTGCAGAGAAGAGCAACCAAGACGATAGAGGATCTGGGGGCGAAAACACGCGATGAATGATTGAGGGAACTGGGTAAGTCTAGTCTAACAAAGAGAAGGATTCAGGGTGACGGGATAGTGGTCTTCTAGTACTGGAAGGGAAGCATTTTCAAAGAAAAAAAAAGGCCAAGAAAATCCAAAATTGCTTTTGGAAAAAGCATCCTTGGGCCAACTGTGGCCTGGATGATTGAGAATCTCCATAGAACATTTATTCTGGATTCCTTTTCTTCTGGCTAAGTAGATCCTGAAACCACCCCTGAAATTTCATAGCAAAAACACAACCTTCAGCCTATCAGATACGGAAGCCTTGAAAAGCTGACACTGGGTTGTCAGGAAGCAGAGACCCAGTTTGCTCAGTAAGTGCAAAGTCACTCACACCTTATAATTCGGAACTTCAAAAATTGACATCAAGATTTGCCTGCCGGGCTGGGATGACCTTTATTTTTAATTAAATTCCACTGATTGCTCTGAGTGCTGACTTAGTAGCCCAGGATCTCATTGCCAGCAAGGAAATAAGGGTGGGGGAAACCTGGAGGGGTATTTCCCCCCCCCCCAGCAAGCAAATTCTTCTCCAAAGGGTTTCCTGTCTGATTAAAAATCATCTTTTATATCTTTCGCCTCTACATATGTTAACAAATCTGTTGGGCATTAAAGCTACAGCAGTGGTACAAATCTAATTCTCTCGTTTGCTCGTTCCTGATGTTTTGTTTTGCTTTTTGGTTCTTCTGACTTTAAAGAAATGAAAACAGAACAGGCTTGCTTGGGTTCCAGAAAGAATTATTGACTGGCCAAGGGAGGCAGGAGAAATCGCCTTTCAACTCAGCTCGCTTTTGCACTTTCAAAGAGAGCTCCTCCCAAAAACCTGAAGGATTTTCCCCACGTGGGGAACGATGATTATCTGCACCAGACCAAGGTCAGGAAAAGTGGTTTTCTTGCTCCTTTCTTTCCCCCAATTTCCTTGGCAACCTATTTTCATTCTAGGCAGTCCTCAACTTACAACAGTTCGTTTGGTGACCATTCAAAGTTGCAACAGCACTGAAAAAAGGAATTAGGATTGTTTTTCACACTTACAACCTTGATCACGTGATCAAAATTCAGACGTTCAGCAACCAACTTATATTTATGACAGTTTTAGAGTCCCGGGGTCACGTAATCCCCTTTTGCGATCTTAGACTGGAATGGAATAGAACAATAGAACAGAACAGAACAGAATAGAATAGGTAACTAATTTTTTGTTGCCCAGGCCCAGAACGGACTTCCCGAAGCAGCATCCACACGAAGAACTGGTTGTTCACCTGTTTGAATCCCACCACTGCTCCACTTCCCCTGCAGCAACGGCCTTTTCCACCCAAGGTGAGTATGATTCTTCCTTCCTTCCTCCCTCTTCCTCTTCTTCCTTTCTCATCTCTTCTGTCTCTCTTTTCCTTCCTCTCTCCCTCCCTCCCTCCTCCTCTTTCCCTGTCTCCCTTTCTTTCTCCTTTCTACCTCTTTCTCTTCACCTCCCTCTCCTTCCTTCCTTCCTTCCTTCCTTCCTTCCTTCCTTCCTTCCTTCCTTCCTTCCTACCTACCTACCTACCTACCTACCTACCTACCTACCTACCTACCTACCTACCAGCAATGGGTAGAGAAACACCGTGAAAAATTGCCGCTAACCCCTCAATTAAATGCTAGGACGTGTCCTTTCGCCCCAAACCATCTGTCCCCCAGTCTCTTCTCCTTGGGTGACATTCCTGTCCCATCTCGCCCCAGTGAGTCAGAACTGGCCCAGTGCGCACACCTGGGGGTGGGTGGGCTGGGGAGGGTGCAAACAAACCGAAGCAGCGTCTTTCCCCCCTTCCCTTTCTTTCCTGGCCCACCAGAAAGAGCATCCAGGTGCAAGGAAGCTGCTTCGGACGTGCAGCTTTGCCAGCTAACCTGGCCGTCTGCACTGCATAATGGGGAGGGGGGAAGGAGGGAGACGGCGTCCTCTCCCCCAGGATTGAAAGTCCGCAGGGTGGGGGGGGGAGTAAGACTTCAATGGGAGATTCTGCAACCATTCAGGAAATGTAGTATTGAAAGTCCCCCCAACTGCTGGCTCCTGGGGGAGTGAAACTGAAGAGAGGGCAGCCAGGGCGCCTCCTTTCCCCCCCCCCGCATGTGATATTCCCCCCCCCCACCTCCAAAAGGATTTACTGATGCTTTGCCACACAGGCACTTGGCTGGCAGTGGAAGGCGTGTGTGTAGCCGTTGTGAGTCAGTCGGAGCAAGGAAGCCGGCGAGAAGAAAAGAGAAGCTGGGGCTACCGAGTTGGGGAAAAAGGGACCCCCCCCTCCCCCAGACAGGAACTGCCAGGAGATCCGGAAAGGGGAATCGGGTCGGTTGGATCTGGCGGCTGGAGAAACTTCTTCTGGGGCGGCCTGGACCCTTGGAGCCCCCAGCCCACTCCCGCAGCCCCCCTCGCCTGCCTGCCTGCCTGCCTACCTGCTGCTCCAAGCGCTCGCTTAGCCAGGCTTTGGCTCAGATTGCGGAGAACTGAGGCCGGCCTAGAAGGCTGCTCGCCACGGACTGGCGGGGGCTGAAGCTCGGGGCGGGAGCCGCGGAGCCCCCCGCGAGGGACTGGATCGGGCAGGCGCTAAGTTTCTCCCGAGTTGTCGTCCCCGGGAATTGGAGCCCGGCTGGGGGAATCGGAGCTAGAGCGGGGCTGTCTCAGGCTCCAGGCCGGCTTGCCAGCCGCCCACCCGGGCGAAGGGGATGCGCGTCTCCTCGGCTGCCGCTTCCACCCGGGAGCCTGGTCTCCGATGCCTCTCCTGCGCCGCGGCGGCCGCTCTCCACGCGAGTTCCAGTTAGGACCTGCCGGTGCGTGGCGGGGAAGCGGCTGGGTCCACCACTAGCAGCTTCCAGCCCGGGGTGGGCGAAGAGGAGCCTCGAAAGAGAGGGGGGGGGATTGGGAGACGAAGCCCCCTCCCGCTCCCCACCGATCGCCCCTGTCGCGCGTGGGCTTTCCGGCTGCCTCCCGCGAGCTCTCCCGGTCGCCTCCTATGACATTTGGAATTAAAGTTTGGGCTTCCGAAAACAGCCAAGATGCCGTTCCATCCCGTGACGGCCGCCTTGATGTACCGGGGCATTTATACCATCCCCAACATTTTGGCAGCGGATCCGAATCCGGTGGACATTCCCGAAGACGAGTTAGAAGGTAGCGGGGAGGGGAGGTAAAGGGAAGGGGCTGCGTGGAGTGGGCTGGAGAGCACCCAGCGTGGGGGGGCGTCCTTGGTCCCAGGGGAAGGGGAAGGGGGGGGGAGGCAGAAGCTTCGGGGAAGGGGCGCGAGTTGGTGCAGGAGGGGACAACCGCCCAGCCAGCCCGGGAAAGCGAAGTCGGTAAACAAGCTCCCCAAAGTGGCGTGCTGTTCTGACGTGCAATGCTGGGTGCCTGGCCAAGCCTTTGGCGCCTAAGGTCGCGGTAGAAAAGGAAGGAGAGAGGTCGGGGAAAGGAAACGGAGGAGGATTTGGGGGGGGGAGACCTAAAAGGGGCGGGTAAAGAACTCTGGAGGTCTGTATATGGGTGTGTGTGTGTGTGTGCGTTGATCTGGTCTACCTCGCGGGGCTGTTCGGAGGAAGGAATGCGAGGGAGAGGCGAGGCGGCGAGGAACCCAAAGGGGCAACCTGGGGGTCGGCTTCCAAGCACACACGCCGACACAGTTCATCCCGGCGATCCTGGGATCAGAAATTGGGGGTGGGGGGGACGCGTGAAAATCCGCCTGGAAACCACCGCAGCAGCCCGGGGGGGGGGGAAGGGGAGGCAGCGCGTGTTTCGCGAACGACCGGCTGGAGACGTGCTGGGGGGCTCCGGCTTGAGTGAGCCCAACAGGAATCGTTTGTGGGGGTGGGGGAGTCCGGGAAGCTCCCCTCCTCCTCCTCCTCCTCTTCTCCCCCCGCCCTCTGCCCCCCCCACCGCTGTTTTTGCAACAGCAAGAGGCATTTCCTGCAGTCTGTGTGCGGAACAGGTAGCGGCGGGGGCGGCAGTCTCCTTCCAGGCAGCTCTGGACTTGTGCTGGTGCGTGTGTGTGTGTGTGTGTCTGCGTGTCTGTGGGTCACCCTATGATATAAACACTCTCTGCGGCGCCTCAACCGGACTTGCAACTTGGAAAGCCAGGCGCCCACCTCGCCCCTCTTCTACCTCTTCCTTCTTCTCTTCCTGACTCTCCTTCCCCCCCCCCCCGCTCCAGCCCCTGAGGCCACCGATCCTAACCCCCCCCGCCCCTGAGGCAAAAGAACTCCCTGCCCCATCATCCGCGGCGGCCCATGAGCCGCCTCCTCCAGCCTCGCGCGGCTGCATCGGTGCGCCCAGAGATAAACACGAGTCTGGGCCCGGGTTGTATACCGTGGGCGGATGCGCGAGGGGAGTCCTGCCGCGCACCTTGGAAGGGTGTTTATTTGGGGGAGGGGGCATATTGGGTAGCGAGGAGTGGGCATCTCTCTTCCTCTCCCCCCCCCCGCCCACTCCCCCCCACCCACCCACCGCGGCAGATTTTCCCGATGGCGTCTCTCGATCGGGTTTTCCGAGGGGTCCACGCGGAATTGCGGAGGGGGGGGGTTGTCGAGCTGTCAATCTGTCTTTCTCCGCTTTGCCTGCCTCTCCCCCCCCCCTCCACCGCTCCCCCCCCCGCATGGATCGATCGTTGACCGAAGTCACGCAGGACTGTGTCTATACATATCTGAGAACCGAGCTCGGCTAATGGGATCGGCCGTGGCTTGTTTTTAAGGGGGGAAGGGGAAGGGAGAGGGGGAGGACCGGTATGCCGGACCGGGGTTCAACAGGTCCGCCTGGAAAAGCAGCCGGACAAGCGCCGCAGGCTGCCTTTCGCTGAGTCCGTGGGCTCGGCGGGGTGGCTGCCGTGGGTCTCTGATCTTTGCGTGACAAACAGGGGAAAAGCGCTAGGGTCCAACCAGGGTCTTCTAATCCAGGGGTCCCCAACCCCCCCGATCCGTGGACCGGTACTGATCCGCGGCATGCCAGCAACTGGTCTGCACAAACAAGCAAAGCCCCATCTGTGAGATGCAGGCAGCACACAAAACCACGCACTCTCCGGTCTGTGGAAAAACGTGGAAAAACCCTTCTCCACGGAACCGGTCCCTGGTGCCCAAAAGGTTGGGGACCTCTGCTCTAGTTCAATCCCCTCCTCAAGCAGGAGAGCCTATACCATTTCAGTCAAATGCTTGTCCAATCTCCTTAAAAACCTCCAGTGTTGGAGCACCCACAACTTCTGGAGGGAAGCCGTTCCACTGATTAATTGTTCTCGCTGTCAGGAAATTTCTCCTTAGTTCTAGGTTGGTTCTCTTCTTGATTGGTTTCCATCCTTTGTTTCTTGTCCTGTCTTCGGGTGCTTTGGAAAATAAATTGATCCCCTCTTCTTTGGGGTAACCCCTGAGATATTGGAAGACTGCTATCATGTCCCCTCTAGTTCTTCTTCTCAGTAGACTAGACATCCCCAATTCCTGCAACCGTTCTTTGTATGTTTTAGCCTCCAGCCCCCTAATCATCTTGGTTGCTCTTCTCTTTACTCTTTCTAGAGTCTCAGCATCTTTTTTCGTATCATGGTGATCAAAACTGGACACAGTTTTCCTACTGTGGTCTTACTGTCCCTTTGGGCTCCTTCTATATATTATTCCATTGCTGAGCCATTTGGAGTCGAAGCTTGCACAGACATAGAGTTGCTTGGCTAGACTGTCTGCACCCTGAATTGGCCAATAAGATGCCCCATAGCTGGGACAGGTGGTGCTTTTGATGCAGAAGACCTTGACTAACCAGAGGTGGTATGGTGCCCATGTTTCTCTGGGCCTCAAAAGATGGCAGAGGCTGCTTTAACCCTTGATCTGCAGTGACCACCCCTCCTTTATTTGTGGGTGCAGTCCACCAAATCAATGGTCTGTGCCATTTCCTTGGCAACATATTTCATAGGTGGCTTGTTGTTTGTTTCTGAGCTAGAAGAAGTACTTGGTCCAAAACTCTCCCAGCCACCTTTTGAGGAAGCAGAACTCATGGTCTCCCGGCTTTGAATCTAGAGACTTCACCACCAGCCCAGACTGGCCTAGCAGAAGAAAGTCAGGATGGGAGATTTGTGCCCTCCGCTCTTGATTCCATCAGGCCCTCAGATGCCTCCAGATTTGTGCCCTCTCTAATCTCGTGCCCTCAGATGCTTCCAAGGGAAGCACCACCATCCAGGGAAACGTTGAGAGATGAATCTTCAGAGACATCCTTAAGACCAACATTCTTTGCAGCTGTAATAATGGATATTTATGATTAGTATTGTTTGCTGTTGGTTCAGTTCCTCTTGAAGGCCCTCAGTGAGGTAGGAGGTTCCTTCACCCATGTCCTTTGCCCCACTTTATAGCCCCTGTGTCTGTCCTCGCCCCATCCAGGGAAGGAAGGCAGAAGGATGAGAAAATGTGTGTTTCTTTTTTCTTAACGTGTGAGAATTGTGAGTTCTTCTCCCCTGCACAGGAAGTCAAAGAACGGTAGTTTTGTCAAGGGTTAACCTTGTCAACCAGCTTAACCTGATTACCGAATTAACCCCTTTCCTAGATTTGGACAACGATCCATCAGCTAAGGCAGATGGGCGTGTTCATATAAAAGGCTAAATATGAAGAAAAAATAAACTATTCAGGGTTAAGCTAACCATGCTTACTATGTTGTGGGAATACAGCAGCTAAGTCTCTGACTGACCTGGTTTAAGAGTCATGAGCTATGGACAAGGGATAGGAGAATGGCTGAGCTCACGTGGCTCGTGGAACCACAGATGAATTGGCCACATTTTAGGACAGAGCAACGTGGGAGTCCAGCTTGTCAGGTTAGAGGATAAGGTATGGATCAGTGTCTTGTGTGAATCGAGATAATGGGAGACCTGAGTAACAAGGGCTAGCACAGATAGGAGTACAGTTTTTTTTCCAAATATGTGCCTGGTGTGGTATACAATGGATATGTATTCTCCTTACCCTACCCAGAAGCTCCATTTCATGGAGAGAGGGTCCCCACAGCACCCTTAAACTGGCACTGAAGTTACCCCCTTTCTGGGTTCCTACAAGACTTTGAACCATAGACCAATTAAACAGGCTGGGTTTGTGCAGCATACTTAGTTGCACACTCCCAGAAATTAACTCAGTTATCTCGGCTACGTAACACTGGACTCAATCTGTTGTGTGAATGAAACTGCTTGGTCTTTCTGTGACCTGGGTCAGCGGGGGATGGGAGAAACGTAGCTATTTTGCAGCTTTCCGACAAGTTTTTTTTTTTTTAAATTTACACTTCTAACTTTGTTCCTCTTTGATGTTTGATTTAGACCCATTCACAAGATCAAGGTTGGGTACATAGCATATCCTTCTCTTTTTCCCCACAACAGTCTTTTGAGGTAGGACAGGCTGAGAGAGAGAATTAGCTCAGTCACTCAATCAGTTTCCGTAGCTGACTGTGGTCTGGAACTTGGCCCTGTCCAGCACCAATCTGACACCTTAACCACTACACCACGCTGCCTCTGCTTTCTTAAAGTGTGATCAGAGTGAAGTCCAAAACTATTTAAACAAACCTAACTATTTTAAAAAATAATAAAATAAAGGTCAGCTTTTTTATATATAAAAAAACCAAACTGCTTTTTTTCTTTTAAATAAAAATTAGCTTAAATCAATGCCGCAGCTTCAGGGGAAAAAAAATTGCCGTTCCCATCTAAAATATACTTTGAATTCTGTTTACAGCCCTGTGCTAGCTTTGTAATGAAAATCATCTTCTTATGACAATGGAATTTTTTGTTTGCTCGCCCTCAGATGCCAGTTATTTCACAGAGCAACTTCCAAGGCAGATGAAATAAAGGGCAATGTTGGGATGAGAATTGCGTAGAAATGGAACTGGGGACTTGTTCTCGAAAAATAACATCAGCCGGCTAAAATGGTTTGTTTTGTGGAAGTAGCCCATTCAGTTCCAGATTGTTTTTCTGTCTTGAAAAGATTCAGCCCCGTCATTTGTCTAGCTTCTTTGTCACCTGCATTGACGGCTGCTCAGCTTGGACTGAAATTAGAAGCCAGAATTACAGAGCTGGAAGGGACCTTGGAGGTCTTCTAGTCCAGCCCCCGAATCAGGCAGAAGACCCTATACCTTTGCAGACAAATGGCTGTCCAATCTCTTCTTAAACACCTCCAGTGTTGGAG